ATGAAAAATGTAAATTTAAATTTTAGAAAATCAGTAATGAGAATGCTTCTTGAAAAGAGAATGTAGCTATCTTTGCTTAATAAAAGATATGGGAGTAAAATAATTCACCAAGTTAAGAAAAACAACCCCAAACACGGTTTGAGTCAAGTAAACTCAACACTTAACTACCCTAAATGCTAGATAGTAATCAAGTTATTAAGTTACTTTTAAAAACCACTTGATGTGCAATTTAAATTGAGTTAATAAAACTTGTTTCCCTATCAAAGAATGCTCACGGAGACACTCAATTGCAATACATCTCAATCATAAAATCTAACAACGCGCCAGATAAGATAATTTTAATAAATGCAAAGGAAATATATATGAATTCAAATCCCAAGTAATACAACTCAAATTAAACTGCAAAAATCCAATTAACAAAAATTATAACGCATAATCTCAATCTCCAAATCAAATGAAATATTCCTAACACAGGAAAAATCTAATGAAGTCCAAGAGAAAATTAATTGGAAAACTAAATACTCCCATAGTTGAAGCTCCAAACTCAAGCTACTCCTCCATCTTCAAGAAGCACAAGGGAATTAGCCTCTCATAGCTCTAGAAGAATCCACACTATATTTGAAGCAATGAGAATCCATGAAGGCTATGGGGGAGGAATGAATGTGAGGATTGATGGCAAAGAGATAAAAGGAAGCACTGGTATGGCCGAAAAGAAGGAGATGGAAATTGGAGATGAGATCGGCGGTGTGTATGTATGGCGTCTCCACGCGAATTGATGTTGGCGGCCTCGGTCTTGCGTGTGGCTGTGCGAAGGGTATGAGGGTGATGTATTTGGCCGAAGGGAAGATATTGGAATTGAAGGTGGGGACGGGGTATATGCGGAGAGGAGCTGGTGGTGTGAGGCGTGTCATATGAGTGTGTGTACGGTGGTATATATAGGAATGGAATAGGGGGGGCGGCTGTGATACCTGCGTGAAGGAGGAGATATAATATATATCCAAATCAAATCTCAAAGATAGACATGTGGATAATTTCTGTGTCCTCTTTTTGAATCCATAAAAATATAGATAATATCATAATCTGATGCCATCCAAGCTGTGTCTCCAATTTCCTTCTTTTTGCATTTTTTATTTCCTTCCTTTCAGCTTTCTATGATCTTTATTTCCTTATTTTTAAGGCCTGCAAAAGATAAAATGAGATGCTATCATAAAATCCAAAATCAATTATTTAAAAAGAGATAAAAATATGATAAGATCTTCTATTAAATCTCTAATTTCATGCAATCAATATTTGATTCAAAATATCTACAATCAATGCAATTTATCCCACTTTAATTGATAAATATCTCTAAAAAGATATCAAACAATATATTAAAATCAGCATTTATCATAGTCTAAGTGATTTTAGAACAGGAAGCTTGATTTGGATCTCTTGATGTCCTTCTTGATGCTGATCAAAAGCATATCTTATTGAAGAATCCCATAAATGTTGCCTCCTCTGGCTGAACAAGACCTTGAACAGATGAGTTTGAGAATACACATTCCAACTTGCTAAAAATTCTTAATTGTCAGAACACCAAATAAGAATTGTCTGAAGCAGGAATTATTACGCCGCTTGTCTCCTGCATCATCAATCCTTTCAGTTCTACGTACTCAGCGCTTCTTGAACACGTTTCTGCAACTACATCGCTAGAAATCAAAAGACCTTTTTTCGTTTCATGATTCGGACAAAAGAAAATACCCGATGTTTCGTAGGTTGCAGTCAAGAATACTACTACAACATTTGTTTGGGTAAGAAACTAACGAAAAACTAACATACAAAATACATTGAAATATACGCATGCGTGCTTGCAGAGACAATGAATTGTATATAGGCCTACAATAAATACATAGATGAAATTTAATCAAAACAGGATGGTCCTCTTAGAGACTATTTATATTTATAAATCTAATTATAAATAGGTCCGTAACTTGAAGTAGGAGATGCAGAGGAAAGTGAAGTGGGAAGGATGATTCACAACAGAGAAATGAAGCAAAGGCTTAGTCTGTGTAAGACTAGATTTTGCATGAGACTGAAGCAAAAGAGGAATCAGGTGGTAACAAATCGGAGATTAAATAATGATGCAAGATTCATCCAAGAGTTGAAAACATGAGAATGCTGGAATTTAATTAAAAGACACTCTGTTTTGTGGTGGTAATCAAAACATGGTTTTTCAATAGCATACCATTTCATTCTGTCAATGCTTGTTCCTATAAATTTTCAATAAATCAAATGCCATCTCTTCTCTACGCATTAAATTTACTGTAGATTAAATTTCATCAAAGTCAAAAAAAAAAAAAGAAGTCAAAATACCCATAAACTCAAGAGTTTTGGATAGAAATATGAAAGTTGATGAAGCAGTTGGTTGCCTTTGCTAGCATGAGGCCTTGATTCCTATGCAAAATGCAAAAGGAGAACTTTAATGAACATAGAAAGAAACAAACCCTAAAGACGTTTGACAATCAAGCATGGCTAATATCGTATATCGGCCAGAAATTATTGTTTTAGTGCAGAATACAGTGCAAAGGTGATTCAAGGCTCTAATTATTAAGTGTAACCAAAATTAAAAATACAACTTACTTGTCTCACTATACCAATGTACAACATCGCAGCTGCTCCCATAATTGCAGAAAATTTTGGGCAACATTCTGTTAGGATCCTTTGAATTGTTCCTGTGGATAACTTAAATCCTTTGCAGATATCAACAAGACTTGGCAATTCCATTAGCCATATCTCTCTCAAATTTGGAAGCACAATTTTGTTGACATTGTCACCACTGTTGTCGGCTTATGTCTGAAGAGCTCTTCCACCTCTGCACATTTTGATATGTCTATTCCGTATAAATGTGGAAGTAGTACAGTGACAGAGGATGTTGACAAAAGTGACACACACACACAGCCATTGTTCTCAAAAAATGTCTCAACACTGCCAAAATCAAGTAGTACAGTGACAGAGGAGGTTGACAAAAGTGACACACGCACAGCCATTGTTCTCAAAAAATGTCTCAACACTGCCAAAATCAAGTATGAATCCTAGAGGGGTGAATCAGATGATTAAAAAACATGAAATTAAATCAATAGTGGAAACAACAAAGATAGCTAGGAAGAATATCTCTGTAAAAAGTTGAAAATGATGAAAAAGGTAAACTCACGGAGAGTTTGCAATAGTTGTGGAAACATTCTAATTGTAGCTGTGTTCAAAATCTCCTCAGTTTTATAAAAGAAAAAGTGTATGTTGGTGCTGGATAATTATGAAGGAAAATTATTGTCGAACATAAGCAATATAATTTAAACATTCTAAAGCTCCTCCAACAAATGAATAAAAAATGTGAGGAACGTATAGTAATAGTATGAGGTGAGAACTGAACTCGCAATCTCCCCCTTATAGATAGTCTTATAGATAGTGTTCCTGTAACCAGATTACAAGACTATAAGCAAATAATAACTTTTACTATGTTTATATAATTAAACATAGAAATAAATTCTTACAAACCAAGTCAGTGCAAAAGGTCAAAAAGAACTTGGATCCTTTTAGTGCCACTATGAATGTTGAAGAAAAGTGACTTTGCTTTGCGCCTACCCAAAAACCAAACCCTCTAAATATAAGATTTCATGTCTTGGTGGGTAAGATTAGGAAAGTTGGGCATCTTCAACAGGTGTGCCATACACACACACACACACATAATTCCATATCATATCAATATTTTTCCACTGCGACCTCAAAGTTGGGCATCCCAAGACTTCTCTCAAGGCTGACATTAGTAGTAAACATACATATTTCAATTTGTCACGTTTCCGATCAGTTCCAATTTTTGAGGATAGAGAACGTTAGGGACTTGTCGATTTTAACCAGATCTCAGGGGAGGCTTTGTAACCAACCTCAGATATTCTAGTTTTTAGGCCAAGAGCTGCATAAAAAAGAGAAATAAAAGAATGTTAATAAAAATTGAGCGGCAACCAAAAAGCAGAAAATTAACAACGATGATATGCAACTTCCTAAGATGAACAGTTCTATGGTCTCCAGATCTACAAGTACAATGTTTCTGGAGTACCAACAGGGCCTCCTTCACCTTGATGTGAAAATAGATTCTCCAGTTGTGCACCATCTCAATTTTGGAAGTGCAATTTATTTTTCATTGACAGATGAATAGAATAACAAATGAAGGTTTTAGGATTTCGTCTCTACAAAATTCAAGAATTTCCCATCTTGATTTAGGATGGGAAAAAGGGTAAGATCTAAGATTAAGAATGCATACACTTATTTAATAAAAATGCAATTTTTAATTTAGCTAGATTCCCATGAAATATAATGAATTAAAGAAAAAACAACAACAATATACCATACTCTTCCTTGTAGTTCAATGGTTCTGAAAACTAAATGTTCAGCTGCAACCAAAAAAAATAAATAAATAAAGAGAAATATTTTTTTGAAAAGAAAAATGATATACCTGCAGGCCCCAGACACTCACTAGAAAAGGATAAACCTTGGCAGAAATCCTTGAGATTTGGTGCTTCTTTTAGAGTTAGTTTTATCAACTTGGTTATGATCCTCCTATCTGAACTGTTTTGCCATTCAATTGTCGCCTCACCTCTAAAAATTTGCTCTAACGGTGCAGCTCTTGATGCATGGAGATCTTATAACTCAGGGAGATCATTCCAAGCCATAACCACAGAAAATAAGCGTCTTTAACTTCGTTACATCCACTAACTTTCTTTGTAACTTTGATTGATGATTTTTATTGAATTTTCGTTTTTACTTTTCGCGTCAATGTGTTCTCCCATAAATTCATGCCTCTCGTTCCTTCTAAAAACCTGCGCTTTGTCAGCTTCATAATTCTTGAAGGAATTTGGCTGAAGCTGACACAAAAAATCTGACCAAACTCAAAAGGCAGAACCAGGAAACAACGTAATGTTGAAGAGAAGACAATAATCAATTACCAGAACATCGGAAGTGGCGTTGTCTTAACCCGTAGCCGCAGAAGCGAAGGTGATGCCGCTGGCGAAATCGGAAATGTTATACTTTGGATCCAAGTACGCCGGAATATATGGCTTCAGTTCGACAGCCTCAGAGATGGAATCTGTGGGTATCCTGCCATTGCTGAACCTCCCAGCAGGCTTCCCACCCTGAAAGTCCCTCCCATATGGCTCGCAATTGCTCCGGGCCACCGTGGGAATGAAGTTGTTGTTCCCGGCATCCACCGACGAGTCGCCGAACACGATGACCGCCGGAACCTTTGAACCGCTGATTCCGGTCACTAGGAGTGGGAGAAAGATGCACAAAGTAAAGTGTATGCATGAGGGGGATGATGATGAGATCGCTTTGTTTTGGTGGCCTTGCATTGTTGGAGCTGTAAGTGACTGTGATTTCTGGGATGGAAAGAGATCAGAGAAAGCGAGAGCGGTAAAGAGAGGGATGGGATGGGAGAAGGTGAGATCATAAATGACATATTTGTGGGGGAACCATAGTTAATGCAACTTTGATCTATTGATCTTTGGGCGGAGAAGTTGTTGAAATTCATAATTGCTCCTCACAAAACCACCCTGCGATTTTTTATGTTCATTACTACGACCACCACCACAGTGACATGGTTCCACATTATTAATTAGTTATTACTCTTCAGATTCTCAATATAAGATTTATTTAACTAATTTGATTAGGTTAAGAAAGTTAGATAAGTTAATTAATTATAAAAAATATAATATTTTTTTCTAAAATATTATAATAATCTTTCTTAATATTCTTCTTTCTTTTTCTATTTGATTATGGTGGAGGGAGTATCTATAGAGATAATTTAGGAAAAAAATAATAAATATGAAAAATAAGTTTTATATTTAATACCAAAATCAATTATACAATTAGGTCTATATTAAGGATCGGAGGAGTATTCATTAGGATGATGATGATTATATCAATTGACTTGAGATAAACTTGGGATCAGTTTTTCTCCCCAAGTAATGTGGAACTCGTATCTTAGATGTCATGTGAACGCAATACCCTGCCGGTGATCCTAACCTGGACTGGTATTTATCTTAACTTCTATTTTCAGAATATTTAGTATTTTTATGTCTATAATTTTAACTCCATTGTAATTTAATCGTTAAATTTTGATTTAGCATAACTCAATTCCTATCATTTTGATTTCATTAGAACTCAGATAGCTAAATCTTGATTAATTGCAAGTTAGGAAACTTTAGTCTATTTAATTTCATTAAATATAACTGAGTGAGAACTCCGAACCGAATTAGTCGAATGATAATATTAAAATATATATATACACAGCTGAATGAAAATTATAAGGGAAAAAAGATTGATAATTCGTTTTTCTTAATTTAACTTAATACTAATTGTTTGAAATTGAGAAAACTATCTTTTTCTTCCATTGGTAGACAGCTAGAAAACTGTCTCTATTTTAAGTTTTGTTCCAAAATTAGTGAGAAATATGCGCTTGTTTGCATTGAACTTTATTTGGTAGAACACGTACCCCTGCTTGAGTCAAACAATAATGAAGGATTATGGATTAGTAAGGGACAAAAGCTTAATGTTCCCAATGTATCAGCCTTAAACGTCACAAATTAAAGTACAAGGAATTGTGGTTATCCTTTATAAATAGTCATATGCAACACAATTATATAAATATTGATATGGATATCCTATATTGCTATGTATCATGAGGACAAAAGAATTTGTCATGCTTTTAATCTTTTTTTTTTTAATGCTTTTCTCTCATTGTCTTATTATTTATTATTTATGATGGACTGTACTTGTTCAGCTCCAAAAATAACCTTTCAACCCCAGCATCCATTGGGTAGGTAGGCCACACCCTTTCACACATTATTGCAGATTTTGTATCATATTATTAATGATTTATCAGCAATAATATATCTTGCTGTAAATTTGGGTTTCAATGAAATTGTTGCTCCACTTAAATTTTAAATTTTATACTCATGTTGATTGATTAAACGTAATTATACCATTTCATTCTGCCGTAAGTGCTTATACCTATTAAACTTGCTGCAAAGTTTTGTATATAACAAAATTTTCAATAAATCACATTTATGCCATATCTAGTCTTCACACAAATTTGCCATAGATTAAATTTCAATTTCATCAAAGAAAAAAAAAAGGTGTCAAAATACCAAAATTTAAATAAAAATAGGAAAAAAAAACACTGTACTTGCATAAGGCGGAAGATGGGAAGAGACGAGCTGGAGAAGTACATGAGAATGAGAGAGATGATTTCAGGAAAAAGATGTAACAATAAGGAAAAGAGTTGTGGATCAGAATGTGTGTTTTGAGTAGTAAGGGTGACTTTCAGAACACAAGTAGATGCATATATACGAGGACCATTCTTGAACAAACATGTAGATATAATCGATGTGCAATAAAAGCTGCCTCAACAAGAAATACTACTCTTGATATTAATGCATCTATCCACTTCTTCACCTATTAATTCCAAAGGCTTTAATTTCCATAATTTTCTAGGTTCCCCAATTAATAATATATACTTTTCTAGTCTTATTTATAAGGCATTCTAGCAATATGTTTCAGCAGAATCAATAAAAACTTTAAACCTTATTAGTCTTATCTTAAAATGTAATAAATTTTCAACTTATTTTTCTTACTTAACATTTACTACTTTAATCAAAAATATAAAGTTAAGACAATAATAAATAAAGCTTAAAATTGAACATGAATTTAATGATGTAACTTATAAATAGAATTAGAATAAATCTTCTTCCTTTGCTTTATGTAAGTCCAAAATGCTGCTTCATGAGTAGTCATTGCCTCTTTAATAATGTTCTATATTCTTCTGGTTTCATGACACAGGCACATGCCACCCTCTCATATATTTTCTGGGTTCAAACTTATTAGAAATTAAAGTACACATGTACACTATTAATTGTTTTCTTAAGTAAGACAGAGAAATTGAAACACGCACCTACACAAGTGAAGAGATTTAATGCATTCTGATTATGAGATGTTTAGTGGGCGAAAAAAAAACATTACTAATTAAAACTGATGCGAAATAGAAAAATTCATGTTTGTGATATAAAGAACAAAAAAGATGTGGGAGATCGAATTAATGAGGGAGCGATGCATGTGGTTGCAACCGTCCGTGAAAGAGAATTCCCACACACACACACACACAGAGACTCATAAATTTTAAAGGCTTCCTTATTCAATTCTCCCACCAGAAAATGAGGTGATCCCATGTTCCTGTCTCTCTCTAGTTAAGTGCAACCACCTTAATTGTGTTCCACTGAGTTTTCGTGCTGCTATCGTAAGTATCACATTTATTTGTTGTCTCTGGCTCAACATCTGATGGATGGGTGTGTGTGTTTGATCCGAAGTTGTGCACTGTTACTCATGATCTCCTGTTAGTGTAAAAGAACCATCATTGACAAAGCAAGAGATCTCTTGATTCATTGATCAAGGGCCTGTTTGGTTTGAGGGGAGGGTAGAGGAGGGAGGGGAGGGTGGGGTAGGGAGAGGAAGGGGAGATTTTATCCTCACCTTATTTGGTTTGATTAAAAGGAAGAGGAAGGAAGGACATTTAATGATCCATTGTTTGGTTCAAGAAGGGGCTGGAGGGATAGTAATAATTAATTTATCATTTTACCCTTACACATTAATTTATATTTTTTATTGATATATTATATAAACCAGTTTACATCTTAATTTAAATTATATAATTTAATAAAAATACAATCTTATCATGTTAATATGTGCATTAAAAAATTGGTATAGTAATTTTTTATTCTAATTAATATAATAATATATTTGAAATAATCAAATTAACAAATTTTATATGCTCTAAAAAAAATGAAATTTTATTCTCTTTAGGCTATCCTTTTTTTCAGCTTTAAAATATATGTAATAAATAATATATTTATAAAAAAAACAATTCATTTTATAATATTATACTTTTTTATTTTTAATTAATATTTGTTATAATATATTTTTTAATTATAATAATTTATATTTTTTATGTTTTACTTAGAATAATATAATTTTTATTTGAAATAAATATTATAATAATATATTTTATGAATAGTAGTGGAATATTAAAAAAAATGGCCTAAAAATTTAGTTCCCTTCTGAAAACTCCTAATTTGGGAGGAGCTAAAATGGGAGGAGGGGAGGAGACATTTTGGCTTCCCTCCCCTGCTTTCCAAAATTTTTAATCAAACGAGGAAAATGGTTTATTTTCCCTCTCCTCCCCTACCCTCTCCTCCAACCAAACACAAAAGATTCAAACGTTATTGATGCATTAAGAAGACAATACTACCAGGGCTATTTTCTTGATGATGTCTGTGAGAGTCTATTATTGTTGGATTGGAGCCATGAAGAGATTGGAATGACTTAGCAAACAAGCCGATCGAACTTTGCTAGCAACAGCTCATAGTCATTCGATTTCCTTCCATCACAAGAGGGTCGCAAGATTGAGGTTCATAAACACTTGTAAAAGAGTCTAAGGATTCACCATATATATATATAATCACCCATAATAAGGTTTAGGGCATCATGCATCCCCCTCCCCATGCAATATCCCTACACAATCAATACCATCCACTCTAAACTGAATTTGAAATGCACTTTAAAGGTCTCATAATACTTCTGAATTTGAAATCACAAGGTTTTATTCCAGTTCAAACGCAAATCTCTAACTAATAACATGCATCTGCAAACGCACAATAATGCTTTTCCGCTTCTTCCATCTGCTCTTTTCCTTCATGGCTCTTCATCAGATGACTCATCATCTGTATATGAACACAAATTCACACTTCAACTTACATCTTTTCCCATCCAAAGCTTTAAACATCTTTAGTATAACAAATAAAGCAGATCAGCACAATTATGTCAGGAATTTAAGATTACAGCATGCTCAGAACCTTTCCAAATTCACAATTCTGATTCATATCTGAAGTATACATAATTTTGGAGGGCAACATAATATACCGCATTAAAAAAAAAAAAAGTTTTTTGAGTGAATAAAATAAATATTTGTTCAAAATCATTAATAAGATAAAATTTTAATTAATCAATATCTGCGTGCTATGAAATAAAGTTGATATCTTTCTGTTTTCTTAAAGTGAATAATAATAATTAAATTTTGGAGTTATAAGTTTGCTGGATACAGAAATCCTAGGATATCAACTAATTATTTAGAACGAACAAGTAAGTCTACGGAAGTTTAGATCTTTATGATTTGATCATAAGCTCAAGAACTGACAAGTAATATAAAGAGGTAGCTAGGAACAAAGATTTTTCCTCTTTCCTTTTGGAAAGAATACTAGAATCATAGATTAACATTTTAAGTACAAATTTCGGATGTATAACAGAGACTTCGCTGGGAAGAAACTCTGTTTTATTTAAAAAAATGGTTAATCAATAGAGTAAATTTTGTAATATTTGTTCCAGTGGTATATATTTTTAACGTATTATTATGTGTAAATAAAGAAATTGTGGGAGCAAGATAAATAGTGAAATACCTGTGGTTTGGATGGAAGCAGCTTGCTGGGAGGAGAAGTCCAATTTTGGGCATTCATCTATCTGGACTCCTTGGGGTTTGAGTTGTGGAGCATTTAGCTGGAATCCTTTGCAGAAGTGAGTAAGGGCTAGCAGTTTTGAAAGTTTCAATGAGTATAGATGTGGAAGCACAAGTTCTTGCGTACTGGCAGTGGCTTCATCACTTTTATGCGAACAGAGCTCCTCCATTTGTGTAGCCTCTGATACCTCAATGCGTTTCAGTGGCGGAAGCATTCCAACGTCAACGTACCTGAGAAGGCATTTCAACTTGTTGCAACGTTTCACTGTTATCCTCTCCAATTTTGGAAAAGGCAACTGCATATAATTCGAGTTGGATACAGCATTCTGAGCTTCTTCCAACGACTCTTGCATGATTTCCTCTACTTCCTCACATTCTGTAATTTCTAGTGCTTCCAATTGTGGAAGGCTTCCCCAAACAGACATGGAGAATATACATTTGAGTTTTCCACATCCATGCACTCCTAAAAAACGAAGATATTGGAAGCTCAAAATCTGAGAGGAAGTGAAAGCCGTGCATATAAAACTCAGATCGCTTAGATTTTGGAACTCTAATTCCTTTAACCACAAGTATTGTGGATAGAAATATGGAAGTTGATGAAGCGGTTGGTTGCCGTTGTTGGCGTGAGGCTCTGCTTTCTATGCAAGACACAAATGAACCACATTAATGAACTAACAAAGAAAGAAAGCCAAATAAAGACATTTAACAATTCGGCCAATAATAATTTAGTGTATACATAATACCGAGTAAATGCAATTCAAGGCTCTGAGTGTTTAAGCAGCACGAACTTTTTTTATTTTATTGTCGTCCTCCATGCGAAACAAACAAAACCAACACTCGAATACAACTTACCTGTGTAAACGGTACAATCGACATGCTCCCAGTTGCTCCCATAATTGAAGAAAATTTTGGGCAATTATTCATTTTAATTTCTATGACATTCTCTGCGGATAACTTAAATCCTTTGCAGATATCAACAAGACTTGGCAATTTCCTTAGCATTATCCTTTGTAATTTTGGAAGCGCAATTTTGTTGACATTGTCACTACTGCTGTTGGCTTCACTCCTACGTTCAAAGAGCTGCTCTAACTCTGCACATTCTGATATCTTTATAAACCATAATTGTGGAGGCAGTATAGCGACAGAGGAGGTTGAGAAAAGAGACTTGAGCTTGTTACAATGCTCCACTTCCAATATGTATAACTTAGGAAGGCTAATTTGGAATGATTGGTGATCTTGTTGTGTTAGAATCACCTCCAACTCCTCACAGTTCTGTATCTTGAGCCTCTCTACCATTGGGAGGCTTCTTTCGTGGCTGCCCTCACCAAATACAGATTTCAATTTCTTACAATTATACAAGCCCAATTCTCGAAGATGGACAAGGTTCGAAACATGTGAAGGAGCTCCCCATATCAGCCACAGCTCAGGGAGACCTCCTAATTCTAATACTTCCAGTTTTGAACACAACAGCTGCATATACACAAACCAAACAAACACACATCAACATAATAACACAAGACAAGAAGCCGCTTCCTTTTCCAAATCCCAATCATCACTACAACATTTTTGCTTTATAACAATAACTCAAAATTAATGCTTAGCTACGAAACTATATTGCCTATAACTTTAGGCAACATCTCTTTTCTTTTGCATCCTTCAGCGCCAATGTCATGTGGTTTACAACAAAATATTATCAAAATAATTTTTGAATCCATCTAATTAATAAATTAATAAATTTACTAATAAACAAATAAAATTTTTTTAAAAAAAATGAATGGTTCTTTTTATGCATTGGAAAATAGCAGGCAACATTTCTCGAATGTTGGGAAGAAATATTTAAAGACACATTTATCTTTTAATTACCTATAAAAATATGGAGTAGCTTTTAAATGTTGCAATAAAAATAGTTTTATAGGCAACAGTTTTTAGGTTGCCTATTTGACGATTTCAATTCAATAGTTGAAATTTATCGCCTATTCTATTTTAGGGAATGCTTTTAGATCTGTTGTTAAATATTACCATTGCCTGTTCATATGTTAGATTACGCAACAATTTCAGAACTGTTGCATAGTCAAGTGTTACTAAAATTAAAAAATGTACCAGCGTCCCCTTTTCTTCATATTCAATAAAATAATAAGAAATACGACTAAAAAAAAAATTCCAGCTGTCTAGCCTATGCGCGTGCGCACACATATATAAAAATTAGGGTAACAAAAATATAAAAAAAAAACTACTTGAATGTCATTTTTTTCCTTTTAACAAAACTAAAGATATTTAAAACTGCTCATTTTAATTCACATAGAATTTTCATTTGAAATGAAAAAATTGATCAATCAGCTGTTATAAGTTCGCATGGTTTGCTAAAGAAAAAGAAACCAAAATTTTTTTAAAAAAAATTTGAATAATCGTACGGTATATATATCTATAAAGTATTGGACGGAAGTGTCTACATTCAAGAAATGTAAAATGTTAAATCCCTTGACAAAATTCATCTTTTGGAAAAAATTATATGTTCAAATTCCTGCTTTTAAATAAAATTAGAACTTTAATATATAATTTTTTTTATAAATTTTAATTTAGAATTAAAACTCGATAATTCTACTATTATTTTTCTGCACAATTTCCTATAAAATCCTTACCAAAAAGAGGGAGAGACAGCAATAAGAAAAAATCAAATAGTATTATATGTATTTATGCCATAAAAATATTTAGAAATCATTAAAGCGGGTACATATTGTGTATATTGGTTATTAGGATCTTGAATCTCTAATTTTGTTAATCTAAAATGAAGTGAAAACAAATATTGCATCATTATGGGATACAACAATATTTTAAGATTCAAGAAAGAAAAAGAAGGAAAAAACTTATCTGCGATTAGATACTTAAGGATTCCAAGGACCAATAAATTGAGCTGCAATAAAGAGAGAAAAAATTCATTTAAAGAAAGGGAAACAATTAGCAAAGATGTGGGTACCTGGCGAAGACAATCGTTGGAAAAGGATAAACGTTGACAGAAATCCTTGAGACTGGGCACTTCTCCTAGAATCAAACTCCTTAAGTTAGGTAATACATTCTCCGAAAAGTCACTCCAATCTATGGCCATTGAAAATAGGCATTTTAACTTGTTGCATCTTTGAACTCGAAGCTTTTTCAGATTTTGAAAACATATTTGTGGTGAATGAGGAGAATTCAATGGGCTTTGATGTTGCTCTCCTACCTCTGCACTGGATACTATTTCCTCTAATTCATCACAATCTGATATTTCAAGATATTCCAATGGTGGCATGTGCTTAAGAATTACAGGGGAGAAAATAGTTTTCAAATTGTTGCACCCGCTCATTGTGAATTTTCTAAGATTTTGGAGGCTCAATTTTTCCATGGGACCACTCCAAACAAATTTTAGATCGGGCAGATTCTTCAATTCCAGAGCACTTAAGGAAGACGTTAACTTGCTTTGTGAAGTCCTTTTAGTAAACACATCCCCTTCAGATTCAAATAGAATGTCTTCCGTACTACAACCCTCAACCTTAAGTTTCTCTAAATTGAGAAATGATAGTGGAGCTAAAACCCCCCTATTTAATTGATTGTCCTGTGGCAAAGCATTTCACAAATCAAAATAACATATTCACATTGGTTCTTGCATCATTTTCATAAATATAATTAAAAAAATAGCAATGAAAATTCGAACAAAGAATTTAACAAAGGGCACATGAAAATACATACCATATTTATGGTTGAACCAACGGTGATATTAACACATGAATCTTTGAATTTTGGACATTCCACGCATTGCAATTCTCTCAAACATGGGCAACTTGAACGAATGCTTTTTGGTAAAATGCCAAGCAAATTTTTCAAGCCATTGAGTTCGACTGATTTCAAAGCAGGAAGCTTGATCTGAACCTCTTGATGCTCAACTTCATGTTGACCAAAAGCATATTTTAGTTGAGAAACCCTAGAAATGCGCACCCTCTCCAACTGCTCAAGGCCTTGTACACAAGAGTTCGAGAATACATATTCCAGCCTATCACAATCAACGATGGTCAAACTTTTCAATTTTGAGAACACCAAAGATGCACTATTGTTTGAGGCTGAAATTATTTCATTGTTAGCACCATCGCCATCCTCCTCTATTATATTCTTCAGTTCACTGCAACCCTCTATATTTAGCTTTTGTAACAATAGTATAGCTCTCACAACACACTTTGGAAATAGCGATGTCAACTTAGGGCAATGGGATATATGTAGCTCTTGTAATTTCTCAAAGAAGCGAGGCAGAGGGGGACCACACCAAATGACTTTCAAGTTCGCTAAAGACTCCAACCTTAAGTTGATTACCTTTGGGAAGAGCCAAGTTTCTATTTCATGAGAAGTTGCATCTACAAGGCATTCCAAATCTGAACAAAACTGGAGCCATGATGTGGTCAACTCATTCATCCCTCCTGCAACTTGAACAAAGTCTGGTACAATATTTTTACAACCTACATCACATCTATACAAACAAACAAATTCTGCTTGTTGCAAAAGATCTTTAATAAATGGACTTAATGCAGAGATTTTCAACTCTTCCAAGGATAAAGCCTTGGAGTGAAAATGCATCAAATCTTGACGATCCCTCCTGAATGTACCACCACTATACTTGTTAATAATTTTAAGTTTATATCTCTTCAATCTAGGAAAACCAGCATCTTTCAATAAACATTTACCAGGTCTTAAAGTTGTGTCGATTTTCCGAACATATAACTCTTGTAGCGGTGTGCATCTTTTTATTATCTTAAAACTTTGCTCCCCACTAAAAGTTAAATCTAACAGCTTCAATTTACTTAACTCTTCCAATCCTTTTGGCAGGTCCTTAAATTGACTTTGTTTCAAGTCAAGAACTTCGAGTCTTTTGAGGCCTAACATCCATGACAAATCATCACCTAATTGACAGTATTGCAAGCGCAGAGTTCGCAGATTAGTTAGCAAATTCATAGAGCGTGGCAATTGTAACAAGTGGAGTGCATCACTGACACTAAGTGTAGAGTTAATTTGCATAACCTTGAGTGCCCCAATACCTTTGAAATTTGCTTCTGATAATTCACATTTGCCAATATTATTTAGCAACAAAATCTCCAATTTTGGAGCATCTAATCGTGGAGAAAATTGAGATACTTCATTGCACCAAGAAGCGAATGCGTAACAATCTTTTATAGACCCATCTGTTGCCACCTTCATGTCCTTCTCTAGATTCACTATAATTTTTTGATTCTCTTGATGTGATATCCACAATGCTACGTCACGAACTGTATCATGCATTCTTAATTGGCCTTTATTTTTCTCAGAACGCATTAGCAGACAAGAATCTACAAGACTATTTATACATACAGCCACTTTATTTCTTGCTTCTTTAAGAGACTTTAATTCTTCACACATGCCCAAACCTATCATGATTCTGAACAAATCTTCAGTGGAGATATCTGCATCTTCAGGATATATGCAGCATTTCAAAAACAGTGACTTGGCTTCTTCGCTACTCAAATAATCATAACTCAATCGAAGACAAGAAAAAGCATCTAGGACACCATGTTCCACATTGATTGGTTTTGAATCCCTTAATCTTCTTAATGCCTCCTCCCACTCTTCTATAGATTTTCCTTTCAAAGAGGCTCCTACGGCCTGAATTGCAATAGGAAGTCCTTTGCATTCCCTTACAATTCCTTGTGCCACACTACTCAATGATTCATCAATAGTAAGAGCGTGTTTTTGGAATAATGTCCAAGATTCGTCATCAGATAAAAGATGCAAATGAATCTCTCTTTCACAACCCATCGTATTACATACTCCTTGTCTCCGAGTGGTAAGAAGGATCTTGCAACCATGATAATTTTCAAGAGGAATACCGACTTGCTCCAAATCAAACTTAGCCCACACATCATCCAATATTACAAGAATTCTTTTTCCATTGCTCAATCTCATCGATAAACGTCTAGCTCTTCCTTCATTACTTTGTTCTTCGAATTTCAAACCGGCCATATCTGCAATTTCATCTTGAATCTTTCTAATATCCAGAGTTTGGGACACAGTTGTAAATATGACTAGCTCAAAAAGGTTTGATTTCTTGGCTTCTTTGCCTACTTCTTTTACCAATGTTGTTTTGCCACAGCCCCCCATTCCATACAGTCCGATCATGCAAACACCATCATCTTGGAGAGCAGCCAACAATTGATCTGAAGCCCGCTTTGTAGACTGGAAATACACAAAATTTCCAGAAGAAAAGTACTCTACGTCTGGGATTGGGACAGGGGTAGAAAAGGGATTAAATTCACTCCTTTGCTTGAGATTCTTTGTTGCCGCGATCATCTTTGTCATTTGTCTACAGAATCGATATCTCCTCCAAGTAGGACACCTTCCTTGAAAGCAACTATTGCTGTCCTTCATTTGCTGCTCCAAGTTCTGCACCTCATCCATATGACTCCTCACTTCAGCTAACCACTTGTCAACAGTATCAGCAATTTTTTCAGTTCTGTTAAGTGCTTCTCGAACACGTGCTTGAACTCCATCTTGTGCTGATGCAAGGTTCTGCTTTTCAGTTTCAAGAGTTTTTGTAATGCTGCCTGCACAAAACAAATATTGTCCTTGACGCAGCAAAGGGGCTACTGAATATTCAGCGAGTTTGGCAATGACAGATACGACAATCTCTGCCATTTAAGCCAAAACTACCTGAAAGAAGACAAGCGGATCAAAACCCATCTTTATGAGTTGTAGGACTAAATGAGTCGTTGGTAATCTCATGCAGAATGAGATTATAATCGTATAAAAATAATAAAGAAAAATATGCTTGTGTTCATATAAAATTAACAAATGCATGGGTGATTGGATCTCAGTACATGAAGACTTTCGACGTGCATCATTTGCAACTAATAGTATTAGAGTTTGGAAACATAAAAAAGATTCATAAAATTAAGGGATTAAACTAAAGCCTTATATAAATTAAATAATCAAAATACACTTCTGCTTATGATAGAAATATAATGAATTTTAATTAAAAATTAAAATATGTAATTAATTTATGACATATAGAATTAATAACATTATATTAAGTTATTCCTCAGGTCCTAAATATAAGACTCCTTTTATAATGTAAATTACTCTACAAAAATAGTTTTATATTTAGGATCAGAGGAGTAATAAATATTTAAAATTTTGATAAATGTTCGATTCCTATGTATGCAAGATATGAATATTTTTGACGCGCATTGCCAGTTGAAGTAACGGTGACGAAAAGAGAATTATGCCGGTAGTTATCCCACAATTATGAAAATTCAAAACTTTCTCAATGCTTAAAAAGCCCTCACCAAAGTAGAAACCATTTTAATTCAATTTTTAATTAATTAGGGCGGAAATTTTTATTGTTTTTGAAACTTATACTTTAGTCAAATTTTTTATAGTTTTTGAAATACTTAACTTTTACTAATCTATACAATTTTTAAAAAATATAACTATTAATTTGCTCACTGTAATCCTGTTTTCAATGATCCTTTCTCATGTCAATTTAAAGAATTCCAAACAATTAAGGATGGTAATATTTAAATAAATATTATACATTAAAAAAAGTTTTCAATCTAAATGATTTTTAGGCATTGTTTATGCTAAAAATTGGTTTAAAATATACTACTCAATCGTTAATTAATAATATTCGTAGATGGGAATAATATCTTAGAAAGTACGTATTTTGTGGCTTTAGATTTTAAGAAAGATTTATATAGGCTTCAGATATAATATAACTCTTAACCCTTAAGATTTTTCCTCAATTATGGATAGCTCCGACATCTCAATCCTTATAATTTATTGAATATAATATAAGAAATTATATAGTTATGAAGTTGTATTAAATTAAAAAATCTTAAGAACCAAATTGTTTCCGGATTAACAACTATACGAACTAAGTCATTCCAGATCAAAGTTTAAGAAACTGGATTGATAATTAAGAAAAACTTTAAACCATGTAAACTTTTTCTTTGCGTGAAAAGGAGATCAGACATACATGCATAAACTTTCTAAGAAGGAAGCAGGAATGGGGAAAAAAGTGAGGGTGCTTGTTATTTATCAAGCTCACTCCCAGCATATTTTGCCATTATATGATTGCAATATTATTCATACCATTAGTACTGTCTTTTAAATCAAACATAACATAGAAAATAAAGAGAAGAAGACTGACTGACACAGATGATGAGTGAAGCGCCTGAAACCAAACACACACAGACACACACACACACATCTGAGCTCTAGCTGCAAGCTATAACCCAAAACCCATATCACAAATTAAAGTCAGAAAGCAAAACCCAGGTAATTGAAATAACTTTTCAATGCAAATTTGTTAATTTCAACCCCCAGAATCTAAAAGCCAGTGGAAGCATGCGGAGAAGTTTAAGGCAAGCATGGATCGGAGAAAACTCAAAACCGCCGATAAGATTTGGAAATAAAAATTCAAACTGACCAAGGGGTGAAGGAGTACCGTTGGACGGAGGTTTGAGAGAGAGAGAGAGGCTGATCGACGGTGAATTATGACAGTGTCCCGACGAGCGGCTGCGAGCAGTGGAAGACGCAGACTGGAAAAAAGTGAATGAAAGGAATTAGAAGTGATGAAAGGCTTGAGAGAGAAAGAGAAGAAGCAGAGGATCGGAAGCCAAGTTGTATGTGTTGAAAGGATTGCCCAAACCTTCCTTTTTGCTTTTGGATTCTAATAATTAGGATCGCTGCTTAGTTTCTGGTTCATTTCCTATCTCCACTTTACTTTGATCTTGGGTCAATGCGTTCTCATATAAAGTCACGCCTCTCCTTCTAAATTAATCACTCTAACAAAAGTGCTTTGATTTTGCAAGTAATATGTGTTGAATTATTACTGGTTGTGTAGGCCTTTCTTATCTGCCATTCCAAATTAATAAAGTGATATAATCCAATTTATCTTCACCACCTCTATTAAACTATTAATTTGTCCCCATCAATTAACAGGATTTGTAATTTTAAGAGAATCTCGCTGCTAATTAAGTGCTTGCCAGCTGGTGTCAACTTCACACATATAGTTTATTTTAATCAACATTGAAAAAGAAACTGGGAAAGAGATTATATATATATATATATATATATATATATATATATATATATAAGCATGCTCGGTTGATGCTCATGACAAATTATGAGAGGCAAAGCCATTGTTATCGAAAATTGTCCAAACATTGACAAAATCGAGTATGAATCCAGGAGGGGCAGATTAGATGATTAAAAATTTTAACGGGAAATTAGATCAATAATGGAAACAACAATGATAAAAATAATAAAGAAAACAAGCGGATCAAAATTTTTGCTAACGCTTTTTACTCACAAAAAAAGCGCCACTCTACAATGAAATAAAATATATTTTAAATCATATGACATTTATACAGGAAAGTAACGTAAAAGAATGGATTAGCGGAAGACGTATAACGAATAACACATTGATCCATCTTTTTGAGAAGCAACGGTGATGAAAAGAGAATTTGTGCCCGTACTCATCCCCCAATTATGAAAATTCAGAAATTTCTCACAATGGTTAAAAAGCCTTCACCAAAGTAGAAATTAAACCATTTTAGTTCAATTTTTATTGTTTACGAGGGAATTTTTTCTGTTTTTGAAACTCATACTTTAGTCAAATTTTTCGTAATTGTAAAATACTTCATTTTTATTAATTTAAACTCTTTCAAAAATTTATAACTGTTAATTTGCTCACTGTAATCCTATTTTCAATCATCCTTTTCTCATGCCAATTTAAAAATTCCAAACAATTAAGTTCGGTAATATTTAAATAAATATTATACATTAAAGTGATTTTAGGCATTGTTTATGTTAAAAAGTGGTTTAAAATATACTATTCAATCGTCAATTAACAATTTGGGTAGACTGGAATAATATTTTAGAAATTAGCATGTATTTTGGGGCTTTAGATTTTAAGAAAATTTTATATAGGTTTCACAAATAATACAACTTTTGATCCCTAAAACTTTTCCTCAATTATGAATATATGTAAGAAATTATAGGTATTGAATTGTATTAAATTAAAAAAAAAATCATGCATCAGAACTAAATTGTTTCGAGTTCATCAATTATACAACCCAAGTAATCCGAATCAAAATTTAAGAAACTGAATCGATGCTTAAGGAAAACCTTAAGAACATATAAACTTTTTTCTTTAAGTAAAAAGGGACATACACGTAAAAACCTTCCAAGAAGGAGGCAGGAAAGGGGGTGGGGGAGTGAGGGTGATTGTTATCAACCCCACTGCCAGCATATTTTGTTATTTATTATATGATTATTGCAATATTTTTCATATCACCAACTCAAACATAACATAGAAAATCATGAGAAGAGGACTGACCGGTACAGATGATGATGATGATAAAGAGTCGAACCGTCTGAAACCAGAGATCTGAGCTCTAGGTGCAACCTAGCTATAAACCAAAACCCATATCACAAATTAATTAAAGTCAGAAAGCAAATTAAAATCCAGGTAATTGAAATAACTTTTCAATGTAAATTTGTTAATTTCAACGTCAGAATCTAAAAGCCAGTGGAAGCATGTGGAGAAGTTTAAGGCAAGCATGGATCGGAGAAAACTCAAAAGCGCCTGTAAGATTTGGAAATAAAAATTCAAACTAACCAAGGGATATTGGAGGAGTAGCGTTGGACTACGGAGGTTTAAGAGAAAGAGAGGCTGATCGACGGCGAATTATGACAGTGTCCCGACGAACGGTTGCGAGCAGTGGTGGACGCAGACTGGAAAAAAGTGAATGAAAGGGATTAGAAGTGATGAAGGGCTTGAGAGAGAACGAGAGGAAGCAGAGGATCGGAAGCCAAGTTGAAGTTGTATATGTTGAAAGGATTGCCCAGACCGTCCTTTTTGCTTTTGGATGCTAATAATTAGGATCACTGCTTAGTTTCCTGGTCATTTCTCATCTTCACTTTACTTTGATCTTGGGTCAATGCGTTCTCACATATAAAGTCATGCCTCTCGTTCCGAATCTTGCCAAACACCCCTTGTTTTCTGAAAACCATGGTTTTCAGGAAAACCATGGTTTTGAGTATGGAAACCTTGGTTTCTTTGGAAGCATTAGGCGACCTGCTTCTGAGGAGTAAAAATATTCGTTGGAGTAATTATTACCTCAGTAGCTTCCAACGGTGAAATTGCCTCCTCTCCCATTCGAAGGCTCCCATTTCTCTTCTCCCATCTGAAGTTCTCCCCTTCCGTCGCCCCTTCAGAAGAACCTTCTCTCCCATTCCGTCGCCATCATCCAATCATGTGGATGTCATCATCTTGCAAAGCCGCTAACAATTGATCTGAAGCCAACTTGGTGGACTGGAAATACACAAAATCTCCAGAAGAAAAATATTCTATATCTGGAAGTGAAGCAAGGATGGAAAATAAATTAAATTCACTCCTTTCAATAAGAGTTCTTGTTGTCACCATCATTTTTTCCATCTGTCTACATAAACGATACCTCTTCCAGCTAGAACACCTCCCTCGAAAGCAGTTTCTGCCTTCCTCCATTTGCTGCTCCAGCTTCAGCACCTCATCCATATGATTTTTCACTTCACCCAACCACTCTTCAACCGCATCATCAATTCTTTCAGTTCTACTCAGCGCTTCTTGAACACGTTTCTGCACTACATCTTGAGCAGAGGCCAACCTTTGTCTCTCAGTTTCAAGACTCTTTTTGATTCTGTTTGCATGGAATAAATATTGTCCTTGACGTATCACTGGATCAAGCAAGTATTCTGCTAGTTTTGCAACAACAGATGTTGCAATCTCTGCCATTCGAGCCAGCACAACCTGAAGAAGTAGCAGCTTTAATCCATCTCTGTGTATGAGCTCTACTACTAATTGGGTTATTTTTAATCTCTCACCGTATCAGATCTACACAGTTAGATATTTGCTATGATGAAAATAACAACTTAATATCAATATACGTTTAAATAGAACTGATAAATAAGCATCATGCAGTCCATTCACGTCAAGGATTAAATATTTGGACAAAAGAAAATACGTCATGTTTCTTAGGATGAATAACATTGCAATATTTGTTTCGGTTAGCATGCAGAGACAATGATATAAATCTAATTCTAAATATAGGTCTACAATAAATCTACAAAAAAAAAAATCAAAACAGGATGGTCCTGTAGAGACATTTTAAATTCATAATACCATGTAATTACTTTAAATTAAAAGACATTTTTGTAAGAAGCTTCTCAAAAGCAATATTTGTAGCTTGGCAGAGGCAGCACCAAATGATCCTCTCAGTAGCCTTATGGGATCATAATTAGATCTAATTAACACTGTATCTCAGGATTTAAGAAAAATTAAATCTTCTAGTTGTAACAAGCCTACGATTAAGTAGTGACAAAAAGGTAAGGATGGAAAACGAAAAAGGGTACTATGAAAACCACATAAGCAGTAGTGAAAGTACGTAGCAAACATTAATTGCAAAGAGTTCTACATTTGATTGTAACGAAATGAATGGATATATAGGTACGTACCTTCAAGCAGGAGATGCAGAGGAAGGTGAAGTGTGAAGGATGATTGACAATGGCTAAAGGAAGCAAAGGCTTAGTTGTGTAACAATATGCCTTTGTCTTTTTATATATATAGATGTATAGTTGACTCAAGACTGAAACGAAAGAGTAATCAGTAAGTAACAACTCGGAAATTAAATATTGATACAAGATTCATCCAGTAGTTGAAAACTAGAGAATGCTGGAATTTAATTGTAAAAAAGGAACAATATGAAAAGACACTATGTTTTATGGCTGTAATCAAAAGACAACATGCTTTTTACGTTCCTTAATCGACACATTGGCTGTTCCCCTTGTGTAATTTCCATTGTGCTTCGTCTTTCCTTTTTCGTATCAACAATGTTAAATACTTTCTGCATATATATGTAGCCCCTCAGGACTTGTAGCTGCTGCAGGGGAGACACAGGTAGGGAATTTCCCAAAAAATGACAGTTAAAGTTTCAAACCCAAAAGGCGATGCGAATTTGTAAAATTTCGAATAATTAAGTCATAGTGAGCGATTTGGAATTTTAAAATATTGGTGAATTTATAATGTTTCTCTTTTTTCTTTCTTTCTTTCTTTTTTTTTTGAAAAAAACCTCAAGTCACCCATGCTGGCAATTTTTTTTAACCTTCGTAGCATGAGTAACAATTCTTTTAAAAATGCCTAAGGTTAGCCACTCGCTAATTTCTACAAATTCAAAAACCTATTATCTAAAGTGGTTAATATTATTAATAAAATTGTGAATATCTTTATAAGAATTGTTAATCACGTAATGAATATTAAAAAAAATCTTAATTTAAAAATCTAAAAAACACAAAATAAATGATGTTATTGGAGTTATAAATATTATTGTAAGAGTTTTTAATCATATTATGAATGTTGAAAAAAAAATAAAAGAAAAACATTGTGAATTCACCAATATTTTAAAATTACATAAATTCACCAACATGTAAAATTCTAATTTAGCCATCACGACTAATTTGAAATTTCTCAATTTTTGGTCGCCTTTTAAGATTTTTGAAATTAAACTATCATTTTCTAAAACTTACCGAACCAAATATGGTGGGAGTGGGCTCCATCCGACAAGTAGGGTCACCCACATCTATGTCTTAAGTTGTATCATTTGATGTGGGTTTATATGCTAAGAATATCATTCAGTTGGGGCAAGACTGGATAAATTAGTCTCAATATCAGAGAAACTTGAAAAAACCATATTGGAGGTACCTATACTTTTTTCAATTTTTAATTGATACCTATGTGTTTTTTGTTCTTAAATAAATCTTTATTTTTCCTCTATTAACATCATTAATCCTTATGTAGAGACTAAAAATATCAATAGAACAAAGTTATAAGAGCTAATGTTGCTAAAAAGATAAAATTAAATGTTTAATTAAAGAGAAAAAAACACATAGGTACCAAATTAAAAATTGAGAGAAAGTATAGGTACCTTCAATATGGTTTTCCCGATAAACTTTTATAGGGATGACCTCGCAAACAAGCCGAACCTTGCTAGTGACAGCTTATAGTAATTCGGTTGCCTTCCATCACAAGAGTCACAAGATTTAAGTTCATAAACATGGTATGTTTATCGCCCTTTCACTCTTTTCCGCATCAGGTATCAGGTATGCATCTCCTCTCTACCTCAATTTCTTTTCATCTCTTTTGTCTCTCTAGCTGTGGCTTCATTGTCTCCCTTGCTCTTCATCTATTTTTGGTTACCTTCCAACTGTTTTTTTTTTTTTGGATTAAATTCTTTGCCTTCCAAGTTCCAACTTTGTTCTTGAGATACCTAACAAATCCCAAATGGAGATTATGTCTTTTGGCTTGTGGTAAGTTGTTTTCCCGTCCGCCTCATTCCCTTGGTGATTCAGATCAGAATAAATGTTATTCATGCGTTTATTTTTTGATGGAAGCAAGGTGTTAAAAATTTAATCTTATATTTTCCTTTCATGATTTCTTTTATTCCTTTTTCTTCCACATTCTCTTTTCTTAGTTTCAGGGATCAAACATAAAGATCCTTTGACTACATAGTTTCAGGAAGCTGATTCAAGGATGTGACAGTTTGATCAACAGGTCTCTATCTACTTTGTAGTTGTATTCTCTTGTGCATATACTCTTCATGAGTTGCTTCAAACATCTTATTTTGGTATTTATTTTCGCTTCCCCCAGTTTTAACGCTTACTATTTCTCCCCCTATTTTTATTCAAAGTGGTTTGCTATCATGCAGAACTTGAGGTGTCCTACTTACTAAATTTATTCAAAGATGGATTTTCTATTGGAAAATGTAACACGGTCAGCATCATGATACTCAAGAGTTCCGCAGGTCAGGCATCTATATTGCTTCTTGCTACTACTGGAATTTAATTTAATTCTCATTGATAATGCTGATTGTTGATTTTTGCCCCCACAATTCACCATCACGGAAAGAAAAAAGGTTTGCTTGAAGATGCACACCAAGTGCTTGAGAAAATGACCAGGAGATATTCAATAGTGGTAGACCAGAGGACACATGAACTGATGAACTTTTGCTGACATATAAATTACATTTGAGCTATGGTTCTTGAATTAGGCCCTTCGGTGTTTTGTCGGAATTTGTTGAGGTATTCTAAACATCAAGAGCAAACTCACTCATTGAGTGTTATCCATGTCTTTCTCTTTTTGTTATTAGAACAAGCTTTCTTCTCTTTTTTTCGTTATTACATGTCTTACTCTTCTTATTATTTCTGTAGAATGGAAACTTATTTGCAGTTTATATGATTGGATTTTACGTCCTAGCTCTCATATGGTTTATTTGAGATCTGTCCTTATATTCTTATTTTGTTATTTTACTTTATGGATTAAGTTACATGTTCTATGGCAAGACAATTTCTGCCGTATTTGAAGACCTTTGCAACTGAGCACCAATTCTATCCAAAACGAGGTATACTTTAGTTTTCAGTTGGTCATCTTGACTAACAATTAGGATATCATGATATTTTAACATAATCACTAACATGGTATGCTTTAGTATTCAATTGATCATCTTGATTGCTAATCATTTCATTCTCAAGATATATAGCAGATAATGCAATAGTATTAATAGATATCATATTACTTGCTGTCAAAATAGTGGGATTAAAACACATTACTCTTAGTCTGCACTCTGAGTTACTGCTTCTGAATTTAAAAAGTATAGAGATATCTTATTTTCATGCTTACAACATTAACCAAGTCTTAAATTAAGCATATACGTTATCTGCTATTGTGCATCTAAGTCTAACTGTCAAGGATACCATTTGAAAGGATACTGACAGAAGTTAACCATCTTGTGTTCTGTAAAGTTGCTTATTAGTATTTTAAATTGCAGTAAAAGGTGCAAAAAGAAGCTTGGAGGGTTAGACAAAGTTAAGGTAATTTACTCTATTTTTATGGTAAATCTATTGGGTTTCTTATTTATCTAACATGTTATCCTGTTATTGTCCAGATCTTTATTTTATGAACTTACAAAGTAAGATGGTTGGCAGAAGTTTCTTGAAAGGGGGTCAACTTTGGGAATACAAAAGTTCTGATATTTTCAAGGGCAGAAAATCAATAGACTTATCTTGCAGGATTTGCTTAGCTCTGAAAATCTTGTGATGTGTTGCAGGTTTGGACAAGTTGTGAATCATCGTAAGGATTTGATACATATTAACACTTTTGTTCTTCCTTTTATTGAGTTATTTTAGTTAGTAAAAATGATTTGATACTGTTTCGTGCAACTGTATAAAACAGGGCCATATGGCAAAGGCGTTATATTTTCATTTATTTTATTTTATCTTTTTTTTTTGCTATCCATTTATTTTATTTTATCTGCTATTGTTGTCCAGGAAAAATGTGATTTTCCACCATTGACTTGGATTGGTATTATAATAAATGCAAAATATTGAACCTTAATGATTGAAAAATTATAGGCATTAACTTGAGCAATGTAAAACCTTGTGAAGATGAAGAATGCAGAGGTGATATTGCTCAGTATTTCACAATAGCTTGAATTTTTTTTTTTTAATGACAAAACGGTTATAAGGGATGTTGTGTCAAAAATATGATAAACGAATATTGTAGTTTGATTAGTCTTGTAGTTCATCTGTTAATATAGTTACTCACTTGCATTGCGGCTTGAGCCCAGTGCATTTTAGAATTTCTTTCTTTATGTCATGGGCCTATAACGTAACTCATTGATTATTATGGATAAAATAATCTCACATTGAATTATTTTATAAAAACAATTTAAGATATTTTTACATGTTTTTTTCAACTGATTTTTATATTTTTAAGCATTTTTTTGACTTTTTAACCTAATATATAATTATCAACGTTGTTTATAGGGAATTGTTTTAGAATGTTAGGACTTCGTATTAGGCTGCATTTTATATTTGTTTCATGTAATAAAGGCTTGTCATTTTTTTGTTTGATGCTGTTTGTTTTGCAAGGCAAGGGATTTTGTTTTGTGCACGTTGTTTCGATTCACTAATTTATTTTTGAAATGATTTGACACATGATGAATATATTGTAGTGAATGCTTCCCGTGCATGCACAAGGAATAAATCCTATTTAAAACTCAATAGCTAAATCTTGATTCACTGCAAGTCAATCACTATAGTTTTTAGCCATTTGAAATTTTAGTCTATTTAGTTTCCTTAAATGTAGTTGAGTGAGAATCCAGAATCAGATTAGCCGGATAATAATATTAAAAATATACTTATATATATAGTTGAATGAAAATTATAAGGGCAAAAAGATTGATTTTTCCTTTTTCTTAAGTTAACTTAATAGTAATTGTTTGAAATTCAATAATTAAAAAAGCAATCTTTTTCTTCCATTGGTAGACAGCTAGAAAACTGTCTCTATTTTAAGTTTTGTTCCAACATTAGTGAGAAATATGCACTTGTTTGTATCAAAATTTATTTGGCAGAGCACGCACCTCTGCTTGAGTCAGACAATGATATAAAGGATCAATGGATTAATAAGGGCTAAAAACTTGATGTTCCCAAGATGTCAGCCTTAACTATGTCGCAAGTTAAAGTATAAGGTGTGGTTATCCTTTATAAATAGTATTACCTAACAAAATGTATAAATAGATATGGACATCCTATGTCACTATGTATCATAAGGACCAAAGAATTTGTCATGGATTTAATCTTTTTTTTATTGCTTGTCTCCCATTTTCATGTTATTTACTCCCTCCGTTCCTTATTATAAGAGACAAATAACCGAAGCACGTTGATCAAAAAAATAGTTAAAATTAGTTCAGAATAATTAATGTGTAAAAAAGTATAATTTTTTTTCCAAAAATGCCCTCATTAATAAGGAGAGAGAGCATAAGAGAGAGCAATTAAATTATTAAAAGAAAAAGAAGTGGGAGGGAGGGAGAGTGTGAGTTGGAGACAATAAATATGGCTAAAATAGGAAATCAACACAAAAAAAGTAGAGACAACTTTAAGTGTCTCTTATATACAGGAAATGCCATAAGCATCAAATGTCTCTTATAATAAGGAACGGAGGGAGTATCATTTATGATGGACTGTTCTTGTTCAACTCCAAACCCTTTCAACCCCAGCATCCATTGGGTAGGTAGGCCACACCCTTTCATACATTACATTGCGGATTTTGTATCATATCATATTATCAATGACTTATCAACAATATATCTTGCTACAAATTCGGTTTTAAATGACAATGCTGCCCCATTCAAATTTTACAACACTCATGTTGATTGATTAAACAAAATTATAACATACCATTTCATTCTATCGTCAGTGCTTATTCCTATTAAGCTTGCTGCAAAATTTTGCTTGCAAACAAAATTTTCAATAAATCAACACTTATGCCATCTCCAATCTCCACACAAATTTGCTATAGATTAAATTTCATCAAAGCAGGAAAAAAAGGGTGAAAAATACAAAAATTTAAATAAAAATACCAACAAAAAAAACTTTGCTTGCATAAGGTGGAAGATAGGAGGAGACACGCTGGAGAAGTACTTGAGAATGAGAGAGATGATTTCAAGAAAAGATGTAATAAGAAGGAAAAGAGTTGTGGATCAGAATTTGAGTAGCGAGGGCGACTCTCAGAAGGGCCATTCTTGAACAAACATGTACATGTAATAGATGTGCGATAAAAGCTGCTTCAACAAGAGATACATATCAAGTGGCTTGATATTAATGCATCTATCTACTTCATCACCTAATAACATCAAAGGCTTTCCATAATTTTCTAGGTTCTCAAATTAATCATGTACTCTTCTAGTCATATTTATAAGCACTCATAACATGTTTCTCCAAAATCAATAAAATCTTGAACCTTATTAATTTTGTTTTAAAATTTAATAATTTTTCAACTTCACCTGACTTATATACACTCTATCTGAAAATATAAAGAATTTAATGATGTAACTTATAAATAAATAGAATCAAAATAGATTTTCTTTTTTCGCCTTACAAATAAAATTAGAGTTAAGAGTATCTGGTGCATAAGGCATGTATGTACAATGTGATGCTTCATGAGTAGCTATTGCCTCTTTGATTATGGTTCTATGTCTTCTGGTTTCAGTGTTTCATTACACAGGCAGATAATAGCCTTTGGCATATTTGCCGGGTTCATACTTTTTATAAATTAAAGTACATATGTACATTATAATTGTTTTCTTAAATAAGACATTAACAACCTGAAACACACACACCTACACGAGTGAAGAGATTTTGGATTCTGATGATGAGATGTTTAGTAGGTAAAAAAAAATATATTAATTAAAACTGATGCTAAATAGAGAAATTTATGTTTGTTATATGAAGAACAAAATAGATGTATGTGAATTAACGAGGGAGGGATACATTCACACACACTCATAAATTTTAAAGGCTTCCTTGTGCAATTCTCCCACCAGAAAATGGGGTGATCCAATGTTTCTGTCTCTCTCTAGTTAAGCCCAAACGCCTTAATTGTTTTCGTGCTATCTTAAGTATCATATTTATTTCTTGTCTCTGGTTCAACATCTGATGGGGTGTTTGATCCAAGATTTTGCATTGTTACTCATGATCTCTTGTTAGTGTTAAAAAACCATCGTTGACAAAGTAAGAGATCATTTGATTATTAATGATGCCTAAGAGTTTGTTGAACTTAGCTAATTAGTAACAGCTCATAGTCATTTGATCTCCAAGACTCCCTCCTTCACAATATTTATGATCAACGAGTGAGGGGGATTCACATATGATCAACCACAATAAGGTTTAGGGTCTCATCCCCATGAAATATCCCAAAATCAATACCATCCATCTTGTATTACTCTCAATACAATACAAAACACATTCATATTTATGAATCACAGCACTGGCAAATTCCCCACTTTTGCCATATACGCTTTATTAAAGGCCTCAATACTTTTGATTTTCAAATCACAAGGTCTTACCGTCCAAGCACAACTCTCTAACTAGTTAAGAACATGCATCTGCATACGCATAATATAATGCTTTCCGCTGCTAGCTTCCATCTGCTATTTTCCTTTATTGCTCTCCGTCACATGACTCATCTGTATCTGAACACAAGTTCATACCTCAACTTACATGTTTTCCCATCCAAAGCTTTAAGCATATTTAGCGTAACAAATAATGCATATCAGCACAATTACGTCAGGAATTTAGATTACAGCCAGCATACTCAGAACCTTTCTAAATTTAGAATTCCAAGCGACATCTAAAGTATGCATAATTTTGACGGGGTAACATAGTACACAACATCAAAACCAAAAGAAGAATGGTTTTGAGCGAATAACATTGTTCACTTTTAAATAAAAAAAAACCTCTGTTTTATTTTTAAAAAAATGGTTAATCAATGGGGTAAATTTTGTAATATTTGACCATTGGTATATATTTTTAATGTACTATTATGTGTAAACAAGGAAATTGTGGGAGCAAGATAAATAGCGAAATACCTGTGCTTTGGGTGGTAGCGGCTTGCTGGGAGGAGAAGTCCAATTTTGGACATTCATTTATTTGGACTTGTTTGAGTTGTGGAGCATTTAGCTTGAGTCCTTTGCAGAAGTGAGTGAGGCTAGGCAATCTTGAAAGTCTCAATATTTCTAGATTTGGAAGCACAAGTTCTTGCGTACTGGCACTGGCTTCATCACTGCTATGTGAAAAGAGCTCCTCCGTTCGTGCAGCCTCTGATACCTCAATGAGTTGTAGTTGTGGAAGCATTCCAACTACAACGTTCTTTAGAAGGCATTTCAACTTGTCGCAGCGTTTCACTGTTATGCGCCTCAATTCTGGAAAAGGCAACTGCATGTTTTCCATCGCAGAAAAAGAGCGAGAAGGACGAATGAAAGAAGAGAAGAAGCAAAAGCTTGGTCGGTTGTGCGAAAGTAGGTTTGTTTTGATTTGGGGGTCCCCAATAAATAATTGAGATCACTGTTGGGCTGTGATTGGTACTAATAACACTGTTCCATATGAAATGTAATTATTGAATCATTGATGGTTGGGGGGACCTTCATCTCTGCCATTCAAGCTTTGATTTGTCGGTCGCTGTCAGAAGATAAGATAAGATAAGCCATGCATGTTTATATTGGGATTGGGAGGTACTACTGTAAAATAATTCATTATTAGCAGAAAAAAGTATAACAAATTTGTTTAATCAAGAATCAAAATAAATATAAAATAAATGTTAGCGTTTAACATTGTCAATTACTTTATATTTAAAAATTATACTTTTAGTATACATAAATTTTTATTTGCCCCCATATAAATATTCCATTCCTGTGTAAGATGTGAATTCATTCACGCGCACTGCTAATTGAAGAAAACAAATAAGGGGTATGCACTGCAAAGTATTTTCTCAAACATATTTAGTATCCTAAAATATTTTATAATACATTTAGTATCTGAAATATTTTTAAGGGGGGTCCTAATAAAGTATTTTTTGGTGCATGTGACACTTTAAAATATTTTTTTTATGTACGTCTAAGACTCTAAAATATTTTGTGATACATCTAGCACCCTGAAAATATTTTTCAGATATTTCCAACACTCTAAAATATTTGTTTGTCTTGGTAGTGAATGCACCAAAAAATGTTTTAAGTCATTAAATGTATTTGAAAAAAATATTTTGGGATGCTGGTCCACCTTAACATAAACAAATATTGGTGCTAATAAGTACTTGTTGGTTTAATTAGCACATTTGATCCATCCTTCTTGGAAGCAGCAGCGATGGAAAGAGAATTTTCGCCTGTAGCTATTTTACGATCATGAAGACTCAATAATATGTCACAAAGCCTTCATGGCATTCCAAAGACATTTTTTTTAACTTATACTTTTTTTTTTTTGCCATCTTTTAAATTTTTTAAATTCTAAAATATTTAATTTTCCTACTTAAAATTATGTATAAAATATGTTATTATCAATTTTCTCTTATAAACTTTTGTCTGGAAAAAATGGTCCAAAAATTATCAATTATCAATTCAAAATTATGGTTATACTAAACACAATTATTATATGCCAATAAGTCTTTGCAATTCTAATTTATCTAAATGACAGCAAATTGGATCACAATAATAAAAGTATTTCATGTTTCAAACTCACGGAAGATGTTACTCTTCCAATTAAGCTAATTCAAACAAAAAAATTAACAATAAATAACAAGTTGAACTGAATATAACATGAATTAATATATGTTTTGGCCATATATGTATATAGAGAGCAAGGTAGAGGAGTGTTGGATACATGTTAGCCCTCTTTTCTTTGTTTTTTGTTCGTATTTTTTCGCCACACCCACGAGTCTATGTCTTTGACGCTCTTCTTACAATCCATTCTTTCTCGTTGAGAGATTCTGATTCCACATTTAGAAACCGTTTTGGCCTCCAGGGAGCGAGCTCTCTTTTAATCTTTTAATCTTATTTCTGGGTCTTTTTTTTTCCCCCAACCTAGTTTTGTCAATTTTCTTTTTACATTTCGCCGTTTTCTATATTTGTATATTGGAAAAAAACCCGCTTTTTCCGTTCATATTTGTTAGCGAGTCTTGAATAATCAACGAGCTCACTCGTGGAAGTTTCGAGCTCTTACTCTAATGGCGCAAAATGGTCTTTCATGGCTTCACAAAAAGTAAGATTTTCATTTTAATTGCCTGCACATTCTGAATCGCGCTATGTTCGGGGGGGGGAATTTTTCAGCTTCTTCGCACCCAATTTTCAGTCCTTCGGGTTCGAAATTTGACCGTTTACTGGTTTTAGAATGTGTTGATTTCCTCTTTCTCTGACCAGTTCTCTTCCAATTCAAAGGTCAACTCTGTTTCTTTTCCGCTGATTATTTCTTGATCTGTCGATATATCCCCAAGGGAAAAAGAAAATGTATGGAACTCAAAGCAAAATAGACCTTGCCGTTGAATACCAAATCCCAAATACCGATTTTGAGGCCCAGCGTCTATTCCAGAGAGCGAATCTCACTGTAAAATTCCAAGACTATATGATTTCACGGTAGAAGTGGAGTGTAGATGATGTCATGTGTGGTTGAATGAGGTACGAGAAAGAGTGTGAGGCAACAGGGAAGGGTATGGTGGGATTGGAAGCCAACAAAGGTGCAAATTGGTATTTGAAATACTACCATAGGCGAAGGTAGTGCCCTTAAGAGTTCCTTGAAATTCTCTACACTTGTTAAATGCCATCACTTGAAGAAGTTGATTAGGAAAGGGATTCCCCCAAGTCTACGGCCTAAGGTGTGGTTTTCCTGTCGGGGGCTGCCAAGAAAAAAGTCCACCGTGCCTGAGAGTTATTACGATGATTTGACGACCAAAGCAGTGGAGGGGAAGGTCACCGCCGCCACCAGACAGATCGATCTATGTGAGTGGCCCTGCCATGCCTGTAATAGCGGATTCTTATTTGTGAGATCTATTATGATGATGTATCAAGCGTTGATACTTTAAAAATATGAGATGGTTTTGCAAAATGGATTACCATCATAGTTATCAAATGTAACTGCATACATCTTTATAGGTTATTGATATGATTATTTGAGAACGGTATGCACCAGTATCCATATGAATGTGATTAGTAAATTTCTTTGCTTCTTAGAATCATTCTTCATGCCTACTAACAGGGACCTGCCACGAACCTTCCCTGGTCACCCGTGGTTGGACACTACAGAAGGACATGCTGCTCTTAGGCGTGTTCTTGTTGGCTATTCCTTTCGTGATTCTGATGTTGGATATTGTCAGGTTAGTTAGTTTGATACTTTGCTTCACTGCCCTTTGTTCTTTAACTATATCTGGCTTTCTTGAAGTCTTAATCATGAAACGAAATATATGCTTTGATAGTTAGTCTGATTTTGTACTGCTAATAAAGATGGAGCATGTCAAAGTTCTTTTGTTTAAATTAACTATTTGGCTTTTAGATATGAATAATGCATGTTTTTCTCTGATCACAGATGTTGCATAGATGCCTGAAAACATTGGTTCGTAGTTATTGACTCATGTAATATTCTTCCAGGGGGTTAAATTACGTTGCAGCATTATTGTTGCTTGTCATGAAGACAGAAGAGGATGCATTTTGGATGCTGGCAGTCCTATTGGAAAATGTCTTAGTTAATGACTGCTACACAAACAACTTATCAGGATGCCATGTTGAACAAAGAGTGTTTAAAGATTTACTTGCTAAAAAGTGCCCAAGGTATTTTCATTTGATGACTTAACACTGCCATTGTTTGCTTCTTCGGCATCTTCTGAAAAATGGAGAAAGTAAAATGCAGGAGAAACGGCTCATTTGGAAGCTTTGGAGTTTGATGTCTCCCTAGTTGCCACTGAGTGGTTCCTTTGCCTCTTTCTCGAAGAGTTTACCTTCAGAGGTTAGACTGATGTTGCAAATTAATTATCAGGAAAAACCTTGTCTTGGTCATTGATAAATTAGTGGACTTTCATTTTGTTCCTCCATAAATAATTTCTTTCAATTTAGTCCCTCAATCATTGAATTGTTTGCAATGCCATCCTTTCATCCCATCTCCATCCAAAATGAAACATCAAACCTCATGGTTGGCTAACTTCAATGTAATGACCTCTAGGGTAGACTATTAATTTTTGGATGGAGACTGAATCAAAAAAGGCAATATTGCAACCATTTAACTGTGGAAGGATTTACATTGAAAGATATGATCAACCTATTTTTGAGACCAAAATAGGATTTCTTCCCCTTTTCCCTCCCACCTTTTCAATATTTCCCCCTTATTAATATTTCTTCCGTGGGATATCAGACAACTTTGCGAGTGTGGGATGTCATGTTCTACGAGGGGGCAAAGATTATGTTTAACGTGGCTTTGGCAATCTTTAAGGTATCAACACTATCTCGCCTCTATGTTCTTTGCATTGTGTTTTAGGTCTATCTCCTCTCCCTCTCTATCTCTCCGTGGCACAGAAACATATGGCCAAATATGCTGTGAAAGAAGAGGGGTGTTGAGATCTGACATTTGAAACCTCCAATTGTAGATGAAGGAAGATGAGTTGCTTCTTACGCATCACGTTGGTGAGGAGGTAATTGATATTCTGCAGAGGACAACCCATCATCTATTTGATCCAGATGATTTACTGACAGTAAGAATTCCTTTTTCTCAATTTCTCTCTACGTCTCTAGTTTATTCCCAAAAATGACACAATAATAAGCCTTTAAGTGGAGTTGATTATATGAATTGTACGATGTTATTATGTTCCGGTAACAATCAAATTCCTGGATATGACTTAATAAAATAATGATGATTAAATTTGATTATGATGGTGCGTAACTTATTACTGCTAACTTCAAAAATTGAATTAAAGTAGCATAATAGTAAGACCTAAATTGTTCTAGTCAAACATGACTAATCACAGAGATATTACGAAGATTCACATTCATCTTGAAAGCAAGTCCTAGCTCTTAAGTGTATGAAAAAATATTTGGTATGGATCGTAGTTCTGTCATTTCTGTAGAGATGGTTTCTGTGCTGCTGCAAAAGAGCAGACCAATGTCCTAACGATTCAGACGTAGACTGATTGCGTGTATCTTTAATAAAGGAATATATTTATTATTTTAAATGAAGCAATATACAGAAGGAAAACATGATGGTGAAAATAAAAGAAGTTATATGAAATTTAGACCGTTTATATTTGATTTCAACAGATTGGAAAAGATCTATTGCAAAACGAGTGTGCCAAGCAGAGTATCTCAACTTTACTTCTGTTTGGGAAAATTGTATCCCAACTTGTGATTAAGAAAAAAAAAAAAAATTGAAAAATAGTTGCAAACTTACCATCATAATGTATGAGTTCCACCAAGGCATTTGCT